ACTCTATATGTATTCCTCATCTTCCGCTTAAATTTGCTTCGACATTCCAATCTTCATTTCGCTCTTTTATCCAAATGGGCAACCAAAAGACAGTAAGCAAAACCGGCGCACGAAAGTGCATGGTTAATGATTGTAAAAGCTGAAACTGAATGATGTTTTTCGCTTGGAGATGACATTCCGGAGATAGCAACTGGTCCACGATTCTGCAACAGGGTAACCAAAATAGCTGTTTGTTTCCACTACCAGTGATGTCTTCGGGTCAACAGTGGGGATAACTGCATGTTCCAGTTCGCTTTTGAGCGTTTCAAAGGACGTTATGACGTCCTGTGCTAGGTGAAATATAATTATATACCAAGGGCTTTTCTTACCCCAGAATGGAATAATCCCATAGGAGTAATATGAGAATAAACCGATTGCCCGTCGTTGCGATTTAAGGTGTAAGTGGTGTTAATCCTTCAGGGTCCGGTCCCATTAAGTCGGGCGAGATTTCGTAACCTCGGAGTCTTTTTTGGTATCGATGATACACTTCTTCGTCTAGAGTAAGCCCACATTTTCTAACAGCGTTGAAAAATTATCTTTGTCATGATCAGTAATGTTTTCGATGTAGGCGAAGGTGCCTGACAGGTTTTCCTCCTGAATGAGTTTATCGATTGCCCGGTGGAAGCAAGCGACACCGTTATTGACTCCAAAATGTATTTCACAGGACTGGTACAGTTTGCTGCAGGCTTTAAAGGCAGTGAATAACCACTCTTTTTCGTCTGTAGCGATTTGTTGGTATGCACTTAGTAGACGGCGTATCTTGATATTTTTAGACGCTATTTCATCCATTCGTGGCAGTGAATATGCGTCCAACAGCGTATAGTGATTAATAGGTTGACTGTAGTCCACCAGCATGCGTCTCCTGTGCCGTTCATCTGTGGTTACATGGAATTGAGCACACCGGGGTGAGGTTCAGGTCTCAATTATGTCGTATATTTTTGTATGTTGAATAAATTGATGTGTGAGGCGATCGCAGTATCCGATGAATAGAGGGAAAATAAACGCCCAACATCTAGGCTTTATTCAACATAACTGGACGACAAGAGCTGAAAGGAATATGGGAGGGGGCGAATTTAGCGGAGGTTAGAGAAACGAGTACATAAAACAGCAAACAAAAGTTAAGCATAACACGAATATCCACAATTGCCTATGTTTTAAGGTACTACTCACATTTGTGAGCAGCACGCAAAAGGGTGCGGTTGGCGGTTTCTTTCAACGGTCGAAAATGAACAAGACTTCTTGGAGTGAGTTGCTATGTTCGAAATGATGACTACGACCTGTTCCATTCATTATCTTGTGTGCTGTCGGGAATCGCGATGATATGTTCAAAATGGGACATCTGTTTATATATCCTCGGGTTAAGCAGAGCTGAATGCTACCAGGCGCGTCCCCGGGTTGTGGATAGGGGGATACCTGTGAATAAGTTGTGGCATACCGCAAAAAATAAGCAGTCGCGAACAAACACCGGAGGCACTACCAGGGTGTGGTGGGTTTCAGGCCGGTCATCTGGCTCCTGTTTAAAATCCGCATAAGCACAATGACGGTGTCGTTACAATGGTCGATGTGACTGGCCTTAAAAGCCGAAAGCCACTGACCCCTCACTTCCGGGGCGAGGGATTGCTTCTTGCTGGCTTGCAGTTCGCACTTGATTCTTCAAAGGCTAGAGGTGCGCCCTCAAAATATAAAACGCCGAGTGACGTTGGGGGTGTCTCTCGTACCAAACCCAAGTAAATTCTTGATCATGTCTGGAGCTGGCTAATCCTTCCCAAGGAGCCAGCCGCAGTAAATTAAGTTATCCATACCCTAACTCTGGTTCGCAATAAACAACTCTTCTAGAATCAGCACGGGTCTTCTGGAATTATCATTTCTGTTGTCTAACAAAAGTTCTTTCTTGGTGAAATGTTTCTGCGGTAATCGTGCTGCTAAGAACTGATATTGTTCTCAGATGGATAGTATGTTTCATTGTTTCAGTTTCGATAAATGGCGGTGGTATTGGAGTGGTAAAGGTCCCCAAATCTTCACTCCGAAGGACGTGTATTCGAGTCTCACGATCACCATCTGACGTTCCTCATTCTCTGTGATCATGGGCATATTCCCTTCCCTGGAAATTATATCAGTTTATATTCAATAAAAGAAAAAACCATTGTTATCGTTTCATTATTCACTAATTGATACTCTTTTTGTCCTATTGCCTAACCTTTGGTTTCGCTGCCGTCATTGTCTAGACTCGTATATGTGTAATCACTGCATGCCCCAGTGTGATGCTGACCTGCTCACATCTAGTCACTCTCTGGTTCTGCTGGTCCCTTTGATTTGGAACGAACACGCTTGTGGTCCATCACATTGTTGAGCTGTATTCAATGCACTCTACGGCTCAAGCACTGTTTTTATGGTAATTTCATTCTCCTCATGCGAGCCCCGATCCTGTTTCTTTTAGCGCTAACTCACTTCATCGTTTCGGAACACGTAATTTTGGAATCAGAATGCTGTTTAATGTCTGTTTCATTTTGGGTGGCCCAGGTGCCGGAAAAGGTACAGTCTGTCAGAAAATTGTTGACGTAAGTGTTAGTTATTGCTTGTCATTATTCGTGCTTATTTGATGATATTTCAGTGCTCCTGTCTCTTTGACGTCCGAATAATTCGACCCCATATGGAAAAGTGCTTTAGGATTTCGTAACCATTTTGGAAGTTACGAATTATATGGCATCTACCGTTCTCCTGGTTTCTTGTTAGGGTGTACATCTTTAGCCTTGGCATAGGTAAAATGTCATAACGGACCTATTGATAAAGATATTAGTGAATTATTTACAGAATACCCTTTTTCTTCGCTTGAACCTAACCCGTGCGTAGATATTTTCGCTGTATACCAGTGATCACTCTTGTGTTAGATTGATAATGAACCACATAAATGACCGTTTTCTGTTCATTTTTTCTTTAACTTTCACGCGATAAAATTATTGCGCCTCTGGTAATTTTTGTGATATTTGCACATTCATATGCACTATCATCATCACTTTTCAAAAGCTGATTCTTAACTGAGAGTGAGAGTTCATGAACGGAGGTGACGTCACTAGATTTTTAGTGGATGTTCATGATAAGGCCAGTGTTCTTGAAAAATGTTTCTAGGCCTACCACTGCAAATCCTGGCACGAGGATATGAAAACCCTAACCAGGAAACTGGGTCACATAGGTCCTGTTAGGCTCCCTGGCTGGGGACCTCGGGATGATCGTAACCGATGGTTAGAGACACCGAGCGGTATGGCTGGGTGTTGTAAACAGTGGCGTTCGTGCATCTCCTCAATTTCTTTGCAACCTTAGGCCACTGAACTTCTCCATTTTCGGTTCGACTCCACTTTCAACTATCGTTTCTTCTCCTATTCTTCATCCGAATGGGCGACCAAAAGGCAGCAACCAAAACCGGCGCTCGAATATGCGTGGTTAATAGTTGTTCAAACTGAAACTGAACTGACCACTGCAAAAATGACTGCACTCCCAAAATCCTGCTCGTTTAAACCTGTCTGTTATAGGATGTGTTGACTAATGTTCACTGCTCATTCCCCGTAGCAACAGTGTCTTAGTCTGGCAAACCGATGAGACCTGAAATGATTTGATGCCAGGGTGACAGTAATCCTATGATCACGCTTCTGGCAATTACTCTGAAGGTGGCATTAAAACGTCAAATTGGTCGGCTGAAATTAGCATTAACCAGGCTGGTGTTTAGTACTTCAGACTGCTTGAATTATGCCGGTGCGATTAAAACAAAACACTAGTTGGCTGCTTCCATTGAAACCGTACAACGAGCACTGAAAGCGATAAGAGCCAACAAAGGTCCATACATCTAACGATGTCACACCAAACTAGCCGGGAAACTTCGTATCCTCGGACCGTCAGCCGGGTTTAATTCGACCGCATTTTATCAGCAGTAAACCGGTGTGGAATGAATACAAGGCGAAACGATGAGGTTTCCGCATGGACATTTCCCTTATGACGGAGGGAGAAAAATGGTAAAGTAAAATTCCTAATAGCCTTGAAATTTTTCCCATGAGGTCTCTCCAAAGATATAAACGTTGATATCAAAGAACGAACTGCAGTTGCGAAGGGGCACTGTGAATTAATAATTTTATTGTTCTTATTGTTATTCTTATTATACTTCACACGTGTCTGCGTTCAGTCTGTAAACCGAAGAAAGCACGATACAACAATCTCTACAAAAAAACCCGTCCATAAGTTTCTGTTTGGCGAATTAACTGCCAGTTTTCTTAGACAAACAGATGAATTTTTCTTAATGATTCACAACCGGAATCCTCCTCCGAAAACGAACCCGCAAGATAGCGCCGCGGGTTCTGAAAACCGCAATCCTCTAGGGACTGGTGTCCAGCTCATCGGACCGTACGCCCTTTGGACGGGGTCCAAAGTCCTCTTTCAGAGAACGACTATCATCATCTAACACGCAGCAAAGAACCCCATCATTACTCGTCCGATGTTTCTAAGCGACCATAGGGGTTCACTTTCTTTGCTACCCTCCAATCGGCCCCAATCCCTGTCCGTCTTATCCATTCTTACTTTGTGTGTGTATTATGAACTTGGCAGTGATCAATCAAGTTCGCTTCCCAGTGATTCACTGTTTCTTGATGATGATGTTCTCAACATACAATGCTTCGAAGATATCGGAGGTCAAATACGGAAAGTTTGTTAGCATGCTGGTCTCACAACTGGGGAGTGAAAGGCTAGGGACTACGGAGATGAACTCCCCTCGTTTGAGGAGGAGTTGGATATCATACTGCGCCACTGTCGTCACAGGTTGGCGAAGGTTACTCTAGCATTCGCTATTCGTGGTACGACCTTCTCTCTAATGCTAACTTTAGCTGCGATCAAGCTCTCAACTAGCTAGCACTTCTGTCTCAGGAATGATGTTTTTAAATATCCAAATAAAAGATGGTGTGGTGACGTTTCGTAATTAGATTTTCCATCCGGCTGATATTCAGATTCTCGAAAGTGATGGTGATTCTTTGCCTGGTTGTGAAAAAACTAGCAGGGAAGAGATGGGGTAATTATTTTTGTCAAATGAGTGGTGCCATTTCCGAGTATTTTTCTATTCTTCTGGAATTTAGACTGCAATTGTTCAGTGAGACAGTCTTTGGAATGAAGATGTGGCTCCTCTCTCTTGTATTGCACTGATATAAGCAAATTCTCATGCTGAGGCTAAATGGTTGTAGTAGTCGAGCGCGCAGATCGAGTTGAGCTGCTCTGCCCATTGCTCCATGCTCCTTTAATATNTATCTATTATTGAGCTAACTCTGCGCCACAGATGGTCACAGATAAAACTTGTTTCCTACCGGTGGTTGCGAATAATCTACACGGATGCACGTCTCATCACGAATGGGTAATTTCGGTTCATCACATCTCTCAATGTTCATAGTAACTAGCTGTTAATGCACACTTAATACGGAGGGCTGGGTTCGCTGCGAACCGTTATCTTCTGTTGTATTTCCATGAGCGTTTGCATTTTTTTCGTTCAGAACAATGTTATTTAGACGATAGTATGGTACATTTCCAGTTCAACATATGTGGATATCAGTTTAGGGTTTCCATTTGTCGATTCTCTTATCCTACTTATTGTATGGACGGAATCTTGCGGGTTTGAACGAGCGTTTACATCCAAGGGCTTGCCTGTCTGATGGTTTGGCTATCAAGTAATGTAGGTTATCTTTACATCCATTGAGAATAGCTTTCTGTGACGCACCTCACACAAACGAATTCGCTTTTTGTGCGAAAGAGCAAGAGTGATGAAGTACACTCATCTCCAGTAGTGTTCAATAGTGTTCTTGATGGTCTCAGGTTCGAACCCCGCCACCGCCATCCAACTTTGGTTGTAGCCAGCTTCGTTGTCACCAGTTTCAATACCACACCTAGCCTATTATTGTGGTTCGCCACTCAATACCCGGTTTCCGTGACTGAACAATGGGTCCTCGTGACCATGGGGTTTATCCCGTCTTTTGATGCTTCAACTGCTCGTCGTAACGCCTGAGATGCCGTGAGTAAGTGGACATCTTAAATTCGTGTCGAGATATTCTAAGTGGATAGTGATGTATTATAATTGGCATTTAACTAGAAAAAGTACAGTGACGCAAGTTGAAGTATCAGTTGTCACTCATTTGGTTCATGTTAATGGTTTCTATAAGGTAAATGAAGTTTTTTCTGATTGTTCAGGACCATGGATTTATCCACTTGTCTGCGGGTGAATTGTTGCGTCAGGCCTGTGACTCTCCCAATTCACCTTATCGTGACGAGATTCAACAGCATATGAAAAACGGCACCATCGTGCCGGCCAAAGTAACTTGTGGTCTGCTGCACCATGTGAGTCCAGTTTGGCGTTTGTTTATTCCTGCACTGATACACAATCATGTCAATTTTCCGCTGCATATTTTTGACAGTGAAATTCTGTTTTTGTATGTGCAATCACGAAACTCTTGGGCACGTTCGAACCTTGGGAATAAAAAGAGCGGTGTAGTGTACCACGCATGCATACTATGTATTTTGTGTGATCGGTACGCAGTAAGCCCACGCGCCTCGTACACGACAGTTACTTGTTAAAGAGTGATAAACTTATTGCTCAATTCGACGACCAGTGATTTTGCCAAGGTCCCCATTTCGGTCGTGCGTTTCTTGCAGGCTATGCTTGAGGGATTCAAAAATGCTGGGTGTACGAACTATTTGATCGACGGTTTCCCCAGAAATGATGACAATCGAACATGTTGGGAAGAGGACATGAATGCGAGGGCAACACTGCGCCGCGTGATCGTTTTGGACTGTCCAGATGATGTGAGTTTATGAATATGTAATGTTTGAATGTTTTTAGCGTGTGCATTTCATCTGTATACTTGATTCGGTTATGATATATCTGTATATATATATAATGTATGATATATTATATATTATGATACAGGTTAGGTTTTTCACTCGATAGTATCTTTTAGGTAAATCTACGTGTTTGCAACATTACGGCGGTAGTCGTATTATCATTAAGAGTGCGCGAGTGCGAACCGCGGAATCACCACTCTGCGTTATTTTTACGCGGCCTTAATGCTGTCGTCATCTGTATAACGCGACGTATTTTGATGCTTCTTTGCCCGCGGAGCTGATGAAACATTTACAGTTTGATCTTCGAGCTCGCTAATTGACCAAAAGCCAATCTGCAAGATCAGCCAACGTTTTTCGTTACCGGGCCCGAGATTGACTGACGTCATCACTCCGCCTGGAATCGATATCTCCAACACGCATCAGAGTAGTGTACGTTACCAGGCCTTAAGTTTAGATACATGTTGATTGAGGTTAAGAAACGAATCGACGCTGCCAGGTGAACTCCTTTGTAAATAGCTACCGTTGGTCTCCCGCTTCAGTATCTTTCATGACTGTCTGTGAACTCGCTTCATAGAGCCATACGATTTTGTTGCTGATTGCCAAGTAAAAGGTATCTTGTTCAAAATTTTTGATTGACCACTGACGGTAGGTTCCATACACCGTGAGAAACTTCTAGTCTAACTTTCAATTTAACACGCTTGTGATTGTATCACTCATGGATGCGCCCG